GTTTGGCTAGTGACACCAATTTTGTACCTTTGGTGGATACAAAAATTTTGATCTCTATGTCTTCGTCTGTATCACTAACAAAATCTTGGTGGGGAGCAATAACCGGTTCCTTGTGTATGTCACTAAATGCTCCTATACTTTGCATTTTGTGATTTGACAGAATTTTTGTTTAATGTGCTTTCTAATACCTATATTTTGCTTTAAAATTTCATGTTACTCTGTGTGCTTTCTAATATGAATACATAAAATGGTATCATTAATTTCTAAGATTTTTTTTTTTTTACAACTTTTTATGTTGTTCTTTCCATGCTTTCACATGAACACTGCATCTGTTTTGCCTTCATTGGCTCCACCTCATTTAATTCACTGTTGTCATCACTAAAGTTCCTTCCCAACTTTTACCTTTGGGTTAGTCTTTCAGCAATGTTCAGTTTGCTACATTAAACTCCTTTATCCAGTTGACCTTTGTTTAAACTCTGACCAATGCCAAGTTTAGACTCACTTCATTGTGTTTCTTTTTCTGCTCTGAGGTCCTAATTGCTCCTAATTCCTCCTGAAGGAACACAGGGAACAAAGTAGGTCTGTCCCATTACCACATTCTACTAAAAATTCCTTCCTAAAAATTGAAATTGATTCTGTAATTCAATCTCTTGAAATGAATTCAACTTAAAAGATGCACTTCAAAATACACCTGATCCTTGTTATTTGCAGATTCCATATTTGCAAATTCACCTACTCATTAAAATTTATTTGTAACTCCAAAATCAATACTCAAGTCACTTTTATGATCATTCACAAGCATGCACAGAGTGGCAAAATATCTTTTTACCCAATGAGCATATTCTTACCTGAGGTAGGGTGATGCTGTGCCTTTTTGTTTCAATTCTCATATTGTAAACAAATGTCCACTTCTATGTAGTGCTACATTTTTCACATTGCTATTCTCTTTGCTGGTGATTTTGCTGTTTAAAATAGTCCCCAAGTGTAGTGCCAAAGTATAGTGCAAGAAGGTGGTGATGTGCCATATGGAGAAAATACGTGTATTTAGTAGGCTTTGTTTAGTTATAAGTCATAGCACTGTTTACTGTGGGTTTAGTGTTAATCAATCAGCAATGTATATTAAACAGAATGTCTTTAAATGGAGACACACATGAAATCTGTTTATGTATTAATCAGTTGACAAAAATGTGACCATAGTTTCCGTGAAAACCAACCCTGTATTTCTCCTAAGAATGACGATTCAACGGTTATTAATTCAGTGTTTGTGGTGACTTCACAGAACACAACTACCAAGAATAATGAGAAAAACCTGTATTTTATTTGTCTTCTTGATGGTCATAGAATCACTCATGGTTTAGTTATCCTAGACCTTCTTTTGTCTTAATCATCATCATCCTACTTTCCTCCAGCTTTACTGAAACTGTTGAAAACATTTTGTACTTTTACGTTTATGATCATCCTTTATGTTCTTTATTCAACTATCTCAGTCTTGATAGTCTCTATAGTAACGACATTCCCAAAAATTTCAGAGAAACAGATGTATGCCCTCTTAATCTTTTATTTTATAATTTTTATTATAAAAATTTCAATGGTATGCAAAACTAGGGAGGATAATGTAATGAACTTTTCATGTACTCATCACTGAGTTCAAAAATTACAACTCACGACCAAACTTATTTTATCCGTACATACCTTACCACAACCCTCTCATCCCCTTCCCCCACCAAAATATCAAATCTATTTTGAAGTTAATCCCAAATGTTATATTCTTTAATCTGAATATGTCCCTATTCAAAAATACCATTTTGATAGTGATACTAGGGGTTAGATATTACAAAGTTTGTATGTTACGGAAGAGAAACCAAATGTGCCCTCTGATTAAAATATTCTGCTTTCCTATCTCTGGAAGGACATGGAACCCATTTTTTGGGGGAGGCAGGGGCAGAGATGGAGTTTCATGTTTGTCACCCAGGCTGGGGTGCAGTGGCACAGTCTCAGCTCACTGCAACTTTCACCTTCCGGGTTCAAGCAATTCTCCCACCTGAGCCTCCTGAGTAGCTGGGATTACAGGCAACCACCACCACGCCTGGCTAACTTTTATATTTTTAATAGAAACAGGGTTTCACCGTGTTGGACAGGCTGGTCTCAAACTCCTGACCTCAGGTGATCCACCCACCTCAGCCTCCCAAGGTGCTGGGATTACAGGTGTAAGCCACCGTGCCCAGCCTCCATTTAAAAAACGTTTATGTCTAGCATCCACAGTTTTTCTCACTTGCCTTGTTCTTACATTTTAATATCTCAAAAACGATTAAAAACCTCATATGTTAAAAAATTTCCTTGAGTCTCCTACTGTTTCTCATCTCAGCAGTATTTAACGACCTTGTCTTTCTTAAAACATAGTCCTTATTTGCATTTCATAATTCTGAAATTTGCTGACTTCTTTCCCCCCCTTCCATCTACTCACTTATGGCTCTATCCTTTGATTAATTTTTCTCTCTCTAAGCCTGGCTATCCCTCAAGATTCAGATCTCAGATAAAATTTGTGTCTGCTGTCTGTATTCTCACTCAAAGACATCATCTTTTCTTTGAACTCAGCTATCATCTTAATGACTGCCACATCTGTGTCTCCAGAATTCAACTCTTGCCCTTATTTAGTCTCACATTTCTACCTACTTCAAAGCAATTTCTGTTTATATAATGTAAGTTGTTCATATGAAATGAAAATTTGTATATGTGCTATTTGAAATTCAACAAGCATCATGAAATGTTGCCTGAGTTTTTAAGTTTCTCGTTCTCATTCATATTATTAGGGTTCACTATTCTTAGAGTTTTCTTTGACTCTTATATTTCCTTCACATGTATTCAGTTAAGTCCTAGACTATTTTCCCACTTTACCATATCTTTTATGTTTATTTCCTATGCCTGTATTATTTCTGTTGACACCCTAATCTAGTCCTTCATTTCTTTGTGTCTTAATACTTCCATTACTTCCTGTTTGGCTTCTTAGTACCAACTTTAGAAGTTTCTGTTATGATATGCACATTCCTAAATACATCTCCTGTTCTCGCTAAAACATTCACTAAAAAATAACAGGATTAGTAAGACAAATAGGGTTAGAGACAGACGGGTCCCTCAAAAGCGATGCAACTTTATAACAAATATAATAATTGGTACCTTTAAAAATAGCTTGCACGGCATAGGCAGACAGAATGCCCAAGTTCCGGTGGCTGACTCAGGGCATGTTAAAAATGCGCAGAAACAATCGTGTGGAAATAGAGATTTGCTGGTGCTAAGCAACATACACAGGGAATTGCAGTCTTGAGCAGAAGAGGATATGCAACTTGCCAGGACCTAAAAACTATACAAAGCTAGGATACATCCCTCTGGGGAGGGAGTTTTGGGTACAGGAACTCAGGCATTTTCTTACACTAGTGCCCCACAGGTGTCTCCCTGGGCAATAGCTGAGTTGAAAGGGTTTTCCTTTTCTTTTGAAGTTTCTAATTCTACTCCCATTATTCTGGCTCCCGTGCCTAAGAAAAAGCGCATATAAACCATCACAATTTCCATCTTCTACTGACAACTCTGCCATTCACTAATCAAATGTGAGCTAATTAGTATTGGTAGAACAGACTCCATATTTTTTTCTATTCGATACTTACTGGACATAACCTTACTTTTCAGCTTGTAGTGCCATTAGATATATTGCTATCTCTTTAAAAAGAATTATTTATTATCAGACTCATTTATTCCTGTTTCTTATGCTGATTTAAGCTTTGTTGTCTCTTGTATCTTCTATTTCTTTATCCTAATTTCTCTGCCTGCATATAGGCTTGGGATTTTATTATCAAAATTATTTACTTTTAAGTAGCTTCATATGGTTCATCTTATTTCTATAAGCAGATTGGGGGTTCCTAGAGGAGAAGCCTCATGTGTTTATCTCTTTTCATATCTTCTACCACGGATGAGGGTATCAGTAAATGCTTATTGGTTAGTTGATTTAAAATCACAAATGCGTTATTTCAAATTGAACTATTATATTAGCTAATTTTTTAAATGAACAAAAGAAAATTCACAAGGAGTTAGTATAATGTAGGGAAAAAAGCATAGGTTTCTAAGTTAGATTTGTCTGGATTCGAATTCAGGGTGTGCCACTGATTAGCACATGATCTCAGGCAAATTACTTAATGTTTCTGAGTTTCATTTTTCTTATTAATAACCTGAAAAAAGATTAACGGTTATATTTTTAAACAAGAATTACAAAAATTAATGAGATAATATGTTAATCAATTAAGATCTTCATAGAGTGTGAACACTTAATGGGTGGTCACTGATTAGAGGCTCCAGGATCTTTAGGAATAATGTCTGTGCCTTGTTATTACAACCCCTATAAAGAAGCAAACCTCTGGAGTTTGCAGGATATAAGTAATTAGAATTAGCGATTTTATAGATGCATTTCCTAAGTTGTGCTTTTTGCTAGACTAAGCACTTTACATTCACTGTCTTACATCATTCTCATAGTACTCATCACAGGTAGGTATTATTAGGAGCATTTATAGATAAATAAATTAAAGGTCTTAGCCAGCTTGGAAAGGCCAAACTTGAGACAGAAACCCTGGTGTCTGATTTTAATGCCTGTTTTTTTTTTTTTTTAAATCAGCAATAGACTCTTCACTTCTTTTTTGGGGAGTTATGTTGCCCGAATAAAGAGATGGTCTATACAGGGAGTTATTTTGTCAGATGTATCATGTAAGTTAAGAGTACAGTTCAGAGAGATGGAGCCTTCAATCTCGTTTGAACCTTGAGGCTACATCAGTTTTCAAGGTATTGGAGCTCCTCTTTTAGGTGGAAAATTGACGTAGATGGAGAAAATCACTTATGAATGCGAACACACTGAATACTTTTGAAAATTAACCCTTTCATTGCATTCTTAAGTTAGAAAAACAGCCAATTCCTCTGTAATGAACTGAATTATGAGTCACTGATTTCTGTCTCTTTTTTAGGGTGACTCTGGAGGACCACTGGTCAGTTCGGATGCTAGAGATATCTGGTATCTTGCTGGAATAGTGAGTTGGGGAGATGAATGTGCGAAACCCAATAAGCCTGGTGTTTATACCAGAGTTACTGCCCTGCGGGACTGGATTACTTCCAAAACTGGTATCTAAGAGAGTAAAGCCTAATGGAACAGATCCATTTTTTTTTTTTTTGGGATGTAGAGGTCATTTTTAGAGATACAGAATTGGAGAAGAAGACTTGCAAATCAACTAGATTTGACTGATCTCACTCACTAAACTGTTTGCCTGCTACATATGTTTTCTTCCCAACTCTGTTCCACACATAAGCATCCTGGTTCTGCCAGATCAACTCTGTGATCCTCTGAGCAATAGTTCAAACTTTATGCACATAGAGAAATAGATAATACAATCTTACATTACAGCCTGCATTCATTTGTTCTTTAGAAGTTTTGTCATCAGAGTTTTGACTTGTTGACATAAATTTCTCCTGCATATATACAATTTGAAGCACTGTTTTTCTTCAGTTCCTCAATTCCTCTCATTTCAGTAAATATCCATTTTCAAGGCACAGAGCAAGGAGTGAAAGAAAATATAAGAAGAAAAAAAATCCCCTACAATTTATTGGCACAGAAAAATATTAGTTGTTTTTCTTTTTCTTAGTGGAATATGGGAAATGATCATATTCATTATGAAAAGTCAAGCAAAGAAATGCAGCAGAATATCAATCAATTCATCATTTAAGAAGTGTGGGAACTAAGTTAAGGAAATCCAGAAAGAAGCCAAGATATATCTTTATTTTCATTTCCAAACAGCTACTATGATAAATGTGAAGAAGACTGTTTTCTTGTGATCTACAATAATGATACAAACTCCATGCAATGTACTTGTTCTAAGGAAGTTAAAGCAAATATTTATTTAACAATGTGTTACTGAGGATGTCAATATTTAGTAATAAAATGTAAATCACCCATTTGCTTGATATTATATGATAACCCACAAAGAAGGAGAAGATGGGAAGATGGGAAAAATATTACTAGCCAATTTATTGTATATTATTTTAAAATTTGAGACTAGGATGAAAGTTAATTTAATAACAGCATGCCTATGTAGTAAAATAATTGTGTTGTGGAATGGGAGGAATGGGAGAGAATGAAAAATTTAAACAATTGACTGAAAAGGAATTATCCATTGAAGACTTTCCCAAACAGCAGATTCTTGAAGGGAATGAGATCCAGGTCTTAATGTATAGCCTAGTGATGCAACTAAACTGGGGCTCAGACCTCCATTTAGAGATGATTGCAGATATTCTTCTTCCTTTCCTGCTATGTTTACAATTCATGCACAGCTAATGTTCCTGTTAGACTGATTTGGACTGAGATGGAGAGATATCATGAGAAAATATCCTGGAAGCTACCTCACTGCTTCATCTAGTGTGACATTGAATTGCTAACTGTCTGGATACAAAAACTGAAGAGTAAAAGCATAATATTGGCCACTTTTGTGATTTTAGTTTTGGTAAGTTATTACTGAGCTGTTAGAGACACAGCTTTCAGTAATCTAAGTCACAACAAAGTTAGGACTGGTATCATGACATATGACATGTTAGTGGTGAGATTTCTTCAAGTCTTTCTCATTGCACACAGCTGCTCATATAAATTTTATGTTGTACCATAATCACCTTGAAAATCAATATTAGTGGGAAAAATTTGACTTTATTGACCTGAATAACATTGGAGTATGAACTGATAACATTTAGGTACTTGGCAAGAATACGAAAACTGACCTGAATTGATAGTGTTAAACATTTTGCATAAACTATTTTTGTTTCATTGAACAAAATGCTCTGAAGAAAAACAAAATCGAGGAAAACCTTGAATTTTAATCAAGGATACAAGTATGTTTAAAACTACTCTCAGTATTCTGTGAAAAATGAATTCCCCTTGTTTCAGTGTATTCTGTAGTTGAGCCTCTAGGTGGCACCCACAAGCTGTGGGAAACTATAGGGAAGCCGGACAGACGATTCAAGAATGTGTAGATGGTTAAATAATAATGAGAACTGTACCTGAGTTTAGAGTCTTGCAAAACCAAAAGAATACAATTTAGCTTGGCAAATGGCGTTTAAAAATTGAATCGTGTTGATTTACATTATTATTACTATTTTTCAAATTTCTGGAGATTGAATTCCAAACTAAAACAAAATTTATGATGCATGATTTGAGGAACCGTCTCTGGAAACACACCTGGAGCATGCTAACGACAGCCACCTAGCTCCCTCCCTACCCCCGTTCCCAGTCTCTAATCCCTGGCAACCACTAATCTGTTCTCTATCTGTATAATTTTTATTGTTTCAAGAATGGTATATAAATGTATTATTCAATATGTTACTTTTTTCAGGTTGGCTTTTTCACTCAGCATACTTCCCTTGAGATCTATTCAAGTTGTTTTGTGTGTCAATAGTTCATTCTTTTTTGATTAGTGAGTAGTATTACATGATATTGATGTACCACAGTTTGTTAGCTGTATACCCACTGAAGGGCATTTGGATTTTGGCTGTTACAAATAAAGCTGCTATGAATATTTGTGTGTAAACTTTTTGTGTGGACATAAGTTTTTATTTTTCTGAGATTCATGGCCTACAGCACAATTGCCAGGTCATATGATGAGTACATGTTCAGATTTCTAAGAAACAGCCATATTCTTTTTACATGGCTCCTTACTACTTGTAAAACTCTCTATACTTAGAATCTCTACCTGTGTATTTCAGATTTGTAGATAGATGTGATTTCAACAATTAGACTGTAAACTCCATGGGGGTAGGGACAGTAATGAATTCATTTTTATATCCTTCACAGTTCACAAGACAGTATAATATTATTTATGACAGTTGTTCCATAAAGATTTATTAAATAAAAAGTAAGGACACTAATAAAGCAAACAAATATATGTAGAATAAAAAAGAAGAAATGGCTTTGGGTAGAAAAGAATGAACAGCATTTTCTTCATGAAGGTATTGCTATCCAATTTTTGTAATTCTTTATGGACTTTACCATGGTACCTCCAAGTAGCTTATGTTTGTAGATATAAAATTTTGTTTTTCATTTTTCCTCAGGTTACACAATCAGACATGGACTAAACACACGGTTGATATGGTGAGTCTATCTTTATGCCTGAATTTATTTTCTAATTCATGTTATATTTAATAGTTTTCTGACACATCTGTATCAGCTGCTACTGCACCTGTGGAATGGATTTCAGTTTAGGGATACACCTAATAAATGTTTGTTGCTCTTACTTTTTATAACCATGACTCTATAATTTGTTCTAATGTAACTTTTATCATATAACTCTTAAGGAGCAAAAGACAGAGACCTGTGAAATGCAATCAAAAGGTCTCTCCTAGTTGACCCTAATCCATTAATCGGTACCTCTTTGGCATATATGAAGTCACCTTAAATTTTAGAATCACTGTATTCACTGTTTACCCTTCACCTGTTTATTCTCTTGCTCCACTACTCTATGACACTTGCTTTTTACTATGATCCTGGTAAAATCCAACTCTCCACTTACTGTTTTTAAAAACTAATTAATTTTCCCCATCTTCCTTAAAGTATAATTGGCTAAAAAAATTAATATAGTTACAGTGTACAACTTGATGTTTGAAATATGTATATATTGTGAAATTATTAAATCAAGCTAATTAATATATCTACTACATCAATACTTATTTTTATGAGAATATTTAATATCTACTCTCAGCAATGTCTACTCAACAATTTAAAAATACTCAATATATTATTATTAACTGTAGTCCCCATGCTGCAAATAGGCTTCCAGAACTTATTTATTTTATGTAACTAAAACTTTGTACCTTTTAAATCTTCTCATTTCTACCACACTCCAGCCTCTAGCAACCACCACTCTACTCTCCGATTCTATGAGTTCAACCTTTTTAGATTCCACATGTAAGTGAGATCATGTAGTAATTAGCACTTTGTGCTTGGTTTATTTCACTTAACATAATACCTGCCAGGTTCATCCATGTTGTCACAAATGGCAGGATTCCCTTCCTTTTTAAAGCTGAATGGTATTTCACTGTGTGTACTTTTTTATTCCTCCATCAATGGACATGTGGGTTGATTCTATATTTTGGCTATTGTGAATAATGCTGCAACAAATATGAGAATGCAAGTATTTCCATACTGAAAGTGAAAAATAGAATGTTTGTATGGTACTTAAAGTATGGTTTCTACTGAATAGTTCAATTAATCACTGCTGAGATAGCCAAAATAAAGTGTAAGAAACAATAAAGCAAATCAGCAAAACCAAAACTGGATTTTTTCAAAATGTCAAATAAATTAGTAAACTTTTAACTAGACTAACCTCCCAAAAAAGAGATGATTCACATTTTAATAATAAAGTCAGATATAATAGTAAAGACATTATTACTAGTCATAATAGAAATAAAAGAATTATAATTGTATACTATGAGCACTTGTATGTCAAGAAACTATAACTTAGATGGAATGAACAAATCTCTAAAAAGACACAATCTATCATACAGACTTAAGAGTTCTAATACAATTCCATTATGTTCAAAGGACACTGCATGATTTCAGTACTTGTATTGAGAGTTTGTATGGCCTACCAACAACTATCTTGGAAAATTTTAATGTACTTGAGAATATTATATACAATTATCCATCACTTAACAGGGATACATTAACCCCATTGTTACATGATTTTGCTGTGTGAACATTGTACAGTGTACTTAAGTAAACCTACATGTTGTAACCTACTACACACCTGGGCTGTATGGCATAATCTATTGCTCCTAACCTGCAACCTGTACAGCATGTTACTGTACTGAATACTATAGGGAACTGAAAAACAATGGGAAGCATTTGTGTATTTAAATATTACTAAACATAGAAAAGTTACTGTATAAATACAATATAAAAAATAAAAAATGGTACACCTGCATAAACTTGTTATCATGCATGGAGCTTGCAGGACTGGAAGTTGCTCTGGATGAGTCAGTGAGTGAGTGGTGAATAAATATGAAGGCATAGGATATTATTGTACACTACTGTAGACTTTATAAAGAAAATGCACTTAGCTACAGTAAATTTGTAAACCATTTTTCTCCCATGAAAAATTAACTTTAGCTTACTGTAACACTTTTAATTTATAAAGTTTAATATTTTTAACTTTTTGACTCTTTTATTAAATCAGTTAGCTTAAAAACAAACACATTTTCCCAGCCATACAAATATATTTTTTCTTTATACTCTTATTTTATAAACTTTTAAAATTATTTTTATAATTTTTTTAACTTTTAAGCTTTTTGTTTAAAAACGAAGGCACAAACACACATAGGCCTGCACAGGGTCAGGATCATCAATATCACTGTGTTCCATCTCCACAATTTGTTCACATGCATGGAGTTGTCATCTCCTGTGATAATAATTGCATTCTTCTGGACTAACTCCTGAAAGACCTGCCTGAGGCTGTTTTACAGTTAACTTATTTTTTTTTAAGTAGAAGTATACTCTAAAATAACAATAAAATGACATGAACACTTTTCAAAAAAAGACATACAGGCAGCCAACAAACATAAGAAAATATCTTCATTACTAATTATCAGAGAGACATAAAGCCAAAACCACAATGAGACACCATGTCATACAAGTCAAATGGCTATTATCGGTCAGACACAGTTACTCTGGACTGTAATCTCATCAATTTGGGAGGATGAGGCAGAAGGATTGCCTGAAACCAGAAATTTAAGATCAGCCTGGGCAACATAGTGAGACCCTGTCTCTACACAACACAATGGCTATTATTAAAGAGTTGAAAAGATAACATATTAGTGAGGTTTTGGCATAAAGATAATGCTTATACACTGCTGGTGGAAATACATATCAGTTCAGCTTCTGTGGGAAGCAGTTTGGAGATTTCTCAAAGAACTAAAAATAGGCCATTCAACCCAGCAATCCCATAACTAGAAATATACTCAAAGGAAAATAAATTGTTCTGCCAAAAAGATACCTGCACTTATTTGTTTATTGTAGCACTGTTCATAATAGCAAAGCCATAAAATCAACCCAGATGCCCATCAATAGTTAACTGGATAAAGAAAATGTGGTGCATACAAACTATGGAGTTCTATGCAGCAGCCATTAAAAAAAAAAAAAAAAAGAGTGAAATCACGGTGTTTGCAGCAACATGGATTCAATTGGAGGCATTATCCTACGTGAATTAATGTGAAACAGAAAACCACATATTCCCATTTATAAACTGGAGCTAAACAAGGATAGACATGGACACAATGATGAAAACAATGAACACTGGGGATTTCAAAAGGGACAAGGTAGAAAGAGGGAAAATAGTTGAAAAACTACCTGTTGGGTACTATGTTCACTACTTGGGCAACAGGATCACTCAAGGTCCAAACCTTAGCATCCTGCAATGTACCCATGTAACAAACCTGAATATGTACCCCCTGAATCTAAAATAAATCTTTAAAAAATAAAAATAATAACTGTAAAATAAACCAGTAACATATTGATGGTCATTATCAAGCATTATATACTGTATGGAATCATGTGCTATACTTTTATGTGACTGGCAGTGCAATAGGATTGTTTATACCATCATTACCACAAACACAAGTAATGCATGGCACTACAAGCTACAGCAGCTGTGACCCCACAAGGTGAAGGAATTTTTCAGCTCCATTATAATTTAATGGAAGTACCATTGTATATGTGGTCCATCATTGATTGAAACATTGTTATGTTACATAACTGTATTTTGGTGTTTTGGAGTAGAGTGCTGTATATCTCTGTTAGAACTAGTTGGATTTTAACTCTTCAATACTTTTATTTCCTTGTTGATCTTTTGCCTGGTTTTTCTGTTCACCGTCAAAAGTAGAGCAATAAAGGGTCTAATACTATTGTTGGGTTCCTTCTTTTTATTTCTGCTATTTTTGTTTCATGTATTTTGGGCTCTGTTGTTGGATGCATATGTGTTTGTAATTATTACATATTCTTGAGAGATTGACACTTTCTCTCTCCATATCTACTGATTTTTTTTGGTTTTAAGTCTATTTGTTTGCTTATTAGTATAGTCACTCCAGCTGTCTAAAGTGACTGATTGCTGATTGTATAATACATCTTCTTTCATCCTTTTATTTCAACCAATTTGTATCTTTAAATGCATAGGGCGTCTACATAGATAGCATATTTGGATTTTTTAGTGCAATTTGTAATATGCACCTTTTAATTAAATTATTTAATTCATTCATATTTGTTGTTTTTTTTTTCCTTTCTGCTTTT